AGTCTCTGCACACACACACACACACACACACACACACACACACACACACACACACACACACACACACACACAATATTGTTTAAAATAATTTTTTGATTGCAGCCAAGACATTCACAGCTGGAAAACAAGACAGTGCCTCTACAGCATTTTTTTGTTAATTGATACTGATATATCTGTGCTAAACCTGGCGAACATGGGCCATGCTTGACTGTTTGACCTCTCTGATTCAAGTCAGTAATCGAACATGTTTTTGGCCTCACAGCACACATTCTGTAGCCTTTAGCATGCTGGTCGCATTAGTGGATCACACACATGGGAATTTGCATAGATTGCATAGATTGACTTTGAGCATGGTGCCAGAATGAACTGTGGTGTAAGATGCTCAAACACACCTGACTCAGTGTTTTAGGACCAACACACAAACACATGGTCTAGGTCCATAAGTAGCTGAATTTATTAAGCTGGATCAGCAGGGGCTGTCATTTAATGGAAGTCAGAAGGTGTTAATGACATGGCCACCAGGTCGCCAGTCTCCACACACTCAAACCTACCGCGAGTCGAAAGACTAGAGCTAAAAATAGATCCACTGTCTGGCCTCTTGCAGTGACACTACTCTGGTCCATGCCTGTCTGCCTGCTGAGCATGTCAGGCTCTTGTTCAGTGGATTTTTTTTAGATAGTGCACTTGACAGAAATTAGTGATTGAAGAAGTATGACATAATTTTCATATGGTACGACTCTATCTTGTGAGCATCAGTCTGTTGCTTTCCCCATATAGCCACCAGGCTTTCCTCAGCATTTTTTCACTTTATTAAGCACGTGAAAAAGCATTGGATGTGAAGTATATATACCTTTTTGTAGTTGGCGGACAAAAGCCCATACAACCATCTCTCCCTTTTTTTCATCCACATTACACTGCATCGGAGTCCAGTAGATTTCTGCCCTGCTTAAGGCCTGGAGGGATTATCCCACCAGCCAAACGCTGGGTTGCACACATCCTCTCAGTCACTCCTGTCACACATGTCTGCTATCTGGTCTGCTTTACTGCCTCTGATCAGCCCTGCCCTCCCCGTGGCCCAGAGGGATGCTGACCTCTTCATTCTCTGAAATGTACTGATTTTTGTATTATTTCCTCTGACTAACAGAGAATGATTGTAATGTGCTGCTACTGTTTGGTCCATTGTAACGTACATACATGCATATTGTATTTGTTGTACTGTGACATGACAGTCCTCTGTTAAGTTTTATGTTTTTCTTGTGACATATTCCAAGGTGAATAAAATGACGCTGTTGCTCTGAGAGATCCCTTCTTTACTTTGGACACCCTAGAAAGTCTGTTGTAATTTCAATGAAGTTTACAGGATAGTTCTCTAAAATATTGTGCCAGTGATCAAGAGTCTCATTCTGCTTCTAGTTTAGATATGCTGTGTAACATTGTGTGACCAGTATGATCAGCTTGATGCTCAAAATACAGAATGTTGTGTGATGTATTATATCCATGTGGGATGAAAGACTTGACAGGTGGCATCTGTCAGTTGTGAAAGACAATATCACAGCCATTCACTGTGACAGTGACAAAGTGTCTGCACTGAAACATATTCTCTTTCAGTAGCTGTGATTCTGACAGGTGATGATCACTCCGAAGTAGTTTACCGTAGGCTTTCTGCTGCAGTTTGGTGTTGGATGACTGAACTCAAACACTCAGAATTGAGAGCAGAATTTTGGTTCTGCAGTGATTCAACTTCAACATTTGGCTTAAAAGCTGTGACTGATGTGACTGTTGATGGCCAGGCCCATTGTTTCCCCCCCTTATTTTCAGAAAATAAAATAAAAAAAATAAACAGCAGTTTACTTTTCCTCAGGCAGCAAGGTTTACTTTCAACCTTGAGGGGGGTAGTATTTTTATTTATTTATTTGCACAGTGAGGAGCGGCATGGTGGTTCAGTGGTTAGCCCTGTCACCTTACAGGAAGAAGGTGCCTTTTTTTGTTTTTAGCTGCATCATCAAATCCACAGCCAACAGCTCAAGTGGCCACAGGTACTTTAGAAAAGGCTGTAATGAGCGGGGTGCAGATGGTTTTAGACAGCACAGGTTGCAGCCATCATGTTGGAAAAACAGCATTTGAAGAGGACACTAGTGGACATCGTGGATATGGAATCATACCTACAGTATAAAATCTGACAGTTTCAGCTTCTAAGAGCAAGCCTTCTCTGTTCTTCTCTTCATCATCTCTGTGAGCTTCTTTCATAGCGTCACACAATTCACACAGGTATTGTCAGAGCCTGGCTGGCGCTTGACCAGCGAGGCCAGTGGGCTTCCTGAGAGCCTCCGCCGAGCTGGCACGACTGACACGCAAGGCAAGCTGTGCTGACAGCCAAAGACAAATGACCTGTTAACAATCTCTCTCTGTGTTTGTCTCGCTAATCACATCTCACACTTTTGGGCTGTAACTCAATAAACATATTGAGCTCCCTTTTTGAGAATATGCATGTAAACTTGATTTAAATAACTAAATTACCCTAAAAGGGCAGTGTGCTGTTATACCGCTGCATGGTAGCGTATCTTCAGGGGGGTTAATTGCATTGTAGATCGATATCAGTGACTTTCTGGCATTTCAGGACATCCTGTGCTGCATTGTGAGTGAGCTTTCACTACGGTCGTTTAGAGATTCCTTCATCTTCACAACGTTATTGTAGGTTTGTCTTGTTGACTGGCATTTTCTGAAACACAAATACTGTGGTATCTCACTTTTCACAGACTCTCCAGGCGTTTCTGTTGCAAAAATGAAGGAAGGAAGACAGAACATTTACTAGTTAAAGCAGTACAAAACACTGTTTGCATGTATTTACGTCTTGCAATATATGTTAATGTGACACAAAATATATTAGACTTGGTCAGATTTTAGATATGACTGATCTGCTTGCTGAGCATTAAACCTACTGTACCTGCTTTTCTTTGCTTCTCTGGCGAATAGTTGTGCATCATTTTCTCTACATGTTCTGCTTTCTTGCTAATCTGAGTCATGACAGATTTGCTAGCAGCAGAACATTCTTGAATCTCCGTTAGGGTTGAAATTAATGATTATTTTTATTATATTTGTTGATTATTTTCTTAATTAATTAGTTATTTGTTTGGTCTATATCAAAAAAGTGAAAAATTCACATTACAACATCAGTAAATCTAAGCTGCATGTCTTTGGACTGTGGGAGGAAGCCGGAGCGCCCGGAGAGAACCCACGCAGGCACAGGGAGAACATGCAGACTCCACACAGAAAGGCCCCAAGTCGGCCGGGGCTTGAAACTGGAACCTTCTTGCAGTGAGGCGATTGCCGCTGTGCTGCAATCAGTAGTGTGATTAGCTATACCTGTGTTTGACCAGCATGTCTGCTGTGACTTTGAAACAATTTTTGGACTCTGGGGCAGAAATAATAAAACTCAGTGTAACACAGTGCTGAAGATCTGTCAGCTGAAGTTGTTATGGCTGACATGTTAGCACAGATGTAAATGTTAAAATACTTAATAGGCAATGGCTGTCTCTACATACTTTAAAATGAACTCTTCTTTAGGTCCTTAGTCTCCACAAACTGCTTTTTACCTCTATTTTCATGGCCAAATAGCTCAACCGCTAACTTTGTTGTTGTTTACCATTTGACGCTAGCGTACAGTCAGCTTGTCTAAGTTTTGTTGCCCAGAAATTTTTGCTCAAGCTTTTAATCAAAGCAGCTGATGAGAGTGGCACATTAGGAGCCAAATCTGCTAAAACAATGTTGCAATAGAGCTGCAGAGTTGTAAATCTCTGTGGGTTCAGTAGGTGAGTGACCATTTCACGTGACCAAAACCATTTGGTTCAGTGTCACAATAAAAAGTGACACTTTGCTGTCGTAAAAAGTGACGTGGTTTGATCCAGTGTAAACAGTGATGAAGGAGTCCTGTGGATGGAAAAACACAAACTGAAACAATTCCAGTTCACTTTCTGTCAGAAGAAATGTGTCACACAGTAAGCAATGCATTTGCCCACCCACAGTATAAACCATTAACTATGTCCCATCACTAATGTGTCACATCCATGAATGGGTCCAGTGTTTGTGTGGGTTAATACTGTGTCTACTGTTTTTCACAGCTTGTTTCTTTGTTGCTTATTGATTTACACTGAATACATTTCCATTACCTACACTACCCAGTGCCAATATGGTTTTATATTTTAATAATGGACTTACTCAGAAGAACAAATTATCCAAAAGTAATAACTCACAGTAAGTAGAAGAGACTCAATCTCATAGTTAAAACCTTTTATAATGTTTTATTTTCTGCAGTCAAATATGGTATTATGACAGTCCCAAATGACATTTCTTTCATTAAGAATTATTGTTTAATGGTAAAAGTACTGTGAAGTCAGTCAAGGTTGTATTTTGTAAAATGTTATTTTAATAAAAAAATGTTTTGTGCATGCTTTCCTTAACAATGTGCACAATCATCAGACAGTAAAATGTCTCCAGTGTTGACATAAATGACATACTGTATTGTACATATTGTACTCCATCTGTTAACTTTTTGGTTTTATGGCATAAACATCATAAGCCAGTTTCTGAGTTGATTTCAAATTCTGGCTGTGAATTGTCAGCCTCCTTTTATCTCATTTTACCACAAGTATATACAAAGCTAAATGGCATCTTATAATTATTTTAAATATTCTGTGTTGTCCCCCATTGCCACCTCAGTTTAGTCCAGTGTATAAATGGAAAAGGTAAACATTGCTGAAAGAAAACACAGAGGAGAAGAAACACATGTTCATGATAGAGGAAGCTCTTGGAAGATTCATAAAACCATTTTACACAAAACCAAAAATGACACAAATGATATTGAAGGCTTATAAAGGAGATGAATGCTGCTGCAACAACAACAACAAAATGCTAAAATTATAACAAAGATTAATGAGTGTGATTGTATGTCCTTGTTTTTTTTTTACATTGTGACTAATCAGTATTTTCATTTTCTCTTGCAGTAAAGAAAGCCAAACTCCACGGGCCTGCAGGTAAGAGCTGATACATGATTTCACTATTATTTAAACACAAAGAGCTGTACTCATGCTAATCAGCATCTTTTGGAGTTGTAGCTGTATTGCCGACAACTGTCGGTTTGATTTGAATTTTGCCAGCAGATTCCCATCTGAGTTTTATTGTTTAAGGCCAGAGTTGTGATTTTAAGTGCAGTCTGAGGTGATATGGACAGAGGTTGTTGACTTTCCAGTTTGAGTGTGGAGATCTTTACAGTCTCATTATTCAGGACAGATATTGTTAAAAGCTGAAGATGGGCTTTTGTTTTATTGATGGCAATATCCAAAACCAGTCATTTAAAATGAGCACAACAGACTTTTACAACAGCTATGGCCTGTGTAATCTGTGACTTCCCCCTCGGTGTCAAAGGTCCTGTACCAATAGATAAACAAGATACTGAAAGTTTAAAATGTTTAGTCTGATGGCGTTCTAAGATTTTCACTTTAGCACTAAACACAATGTGCATTTGAGGGTCACGGAGGGCAGAGATCTCTGCAGACCCCGCACACCCTGGCCACAAACTGTTTGAACGCCTCTCCTCTGGATGGCGCTACAGGTCACTGTACACCAAGACAACCAGACACAAAGACAGTTTCTTCCCCCAGACGTCACTCTGACCAACACCTAACCCATGGCTGTATAACAGGACGACAACTCTCAGTGCAGTACCTGTAAATATACCATTGCATATACTGTATCCATCTGGAAACCTCCACCGAAGCTTTGTGTATATGCACAGATATTTTATATTTTAACTACTTAATTTTTATTTTCCTAATACACATTCCTTTTTCTTGTTTGCACATTCTTGTTCTTTTCTTGTTCTTGCATCTTATCTTGTCTACTCAATGCCTTACAAAAGAACATTGTACATGAACATCGAGAGCCACTGTACTGGAGTGTTCAACACACCTGGTCAATAAAGATGGTTGTGATTCTGGACATGGTGATGGAATTGACATCGGTTTTGTGGGCATTGAGACATAAACCAGTTGTACTGAACAATATCAAGTTTGAACTCTCCCTGGATGTTAGTGTGTATGAATCTCTTGCACCCGTCCCTCAGTAAGGTTTCTTGTGAAGTCGGTTCGATTTTCATTTGGCATTTGCTTGGATATCCTCGGTAGAGATGTCATGGAGGACAAGAAGAGTTGAAAAGAGAAAAACAAAGATTTGTCAAAAAGTTTCTTTTCAACGATGAAGAATCAAGAACTCAGAAGCCGGTCAAAGTGGGACCTCCTCTTCCCATCCACCTCTTTTTCTTTGCATCTCTTTTTTACTTTACTGACTTCAGCTGTTCATCCTTCCATCTTCTCTCCAGGCGATGATGAAGGGAGAACAACAGCGATGAGTGGGAGAATGAGAAATCAAGCTGGAGGAGGCGGGAAGAAAATCAATAGATCATCAAAGACAAAGGGTCACCTGCTAGTCCGAAATGACAGCATGTCACCCCGGCATAAAGGAGAAGATGGAGACAAATCTCTGTGTCTTTAGGAGACAGATACAAACTCCAGATACAGGAGGTGATTTGTCACTGGCTGCCTCTGGCCTCTGATCCCCAAGCAGATTTTCAGAGCAGAATGAGGACATTTGATTGGCCCTCCCAGGCTTCATAAAACAGGACATGAGTGATGATGTTACTAGCATACAGTCTTTGTGCCCTTTAATTCATTTATTCTGTCATTCTTCTGAATTAGTGCTACTGGCAAATCTCTCTTTGAATGGTATACAGATAAACTAATTTGTAATAATAAACAAGTTGCACAAGGAGCCTCTGATGGTTTTCAAACGCAGCAGACTCAGTGTGAGAAACTCCTTGGAGGAGCTCCAATAGTTTAGGAAGTTTAGAGAGAAAATTTGGACCTGAACAATAGCTACTTGACATGGTACACCCTCCAACCAAACTTACAGTACGATGTTCATGTGGAAAGCTACTGTAGCTTCTCATTTAGCTGAACACTTGCGTTTTCTCTGGTTGAACGCATGCAAATTAGCAACATCAGCAGTTTTAGCTGTTTGAAATAAACCTGCTTTTGGGTCACGACACCACTGTGCTTGCCAGTCTCTGAATTAGAGGTTTTAGAAGTGGGTGTTTAATTGGAGGGAAATTTGTCTGAATCTCAAACTGCTTTTAGAGAAACAACCCTGACAGGATCACATCAGAAACACTGAGAAGTTGAAATGAAATCACTTCACTGGGGCCTCTGTTTTTTACAGTAGAAAGTTGATTCTGCTCAGGAAAGTTGGTATGAATTTATTTTCATGTGGGCTCATTATCATTGTTTGGGTTTCCCTATTGGTTTGAGTACAGAATGTCAAAAAATTTGGACTATGAAATAATTCATAAGCTTGGACAAAAGGCCTGTTTTCAGGTGTGTCTGACATCATTTAGCTTTTCTTACCGGATGCCTTGCTCATCAGTAGTGGTGTTTATCTTGCTCTAATGGTCCACTGCAGCGTAATGAATGCAGAGGAATCCCTGACTGTAATGAGGCAATGGTCACAGTGTAATGAGGCAGCCCTGTCTCAGCACAGCTTGAAAACTGTTGTGCTGTCTGACCTTTTGCAGGCTTTAACGATTCCTCCTCAGTCTCCTTAGTTTATTCCTAAACCCAGCAGCCATTGTAGATGACGCTTTTACTGTATTTTGCCTGAAAAACTGCAGTATTTTCCCTCTGTGCAATTGTTTGAGAGAATAAGTTTTCTTTCTGCTCAGCTGTCTGAAGTTAGAAGAAAACTGTCCTCCTCTTCAAATTTGATGTCTCAGCACATCATATACAGTAGGTGATGGAGAGTATACCCAAACGTGCAGAAGTGTGTGAAACATCTGGGCAATTTTTATGATGACTTGGAGTGTGCACTGCTGAGCAGGAATCCCTTGGGCACCATCTTGTAATCTGGTATCTGTTTGTCATTAGTACATCCATGGGGTAGATTACTAATTTGAGGAAATTATCTATGTTACAACCAACATTTAGTTGGTCTGAAAAGGAATTTTAATGCTTAAAGTAGTTTTGTTTTCAGGGTTTGTGTAGTTTGGCATGCAGTTTCATGGTGTTGCTGCTTTGCAGTTTTTAGAAAAACCTCCTGTCAATCAAGCACTGAGGGCAGGGCTGCAATGTCTTCCTCTTCCTTAGATATTTTTAGTGGAGTTTCAGCGGTGGAGCTTCTGTTTGACCAGTTCAACTGCTACTCAGTCTTCCCCTCTAAGCTTTTGGCTGCCTTATACAGATCTATTGTATCTATTGTATATTAAAAGTTAAAGTTACAATTGGAGGGAAGATAAACTCCAAAATGAGATAACAGGCACAGTCATGTCAGTAAGAAAAACATTAGTATTGATTTAAGGTTTTGTTTGTGTCTCCCAGTTAATTTAAGCCTTCTTTTAGTTCTGTTTTGGGCTGGCTATTTAACTGCTCAGTGCTCCACTATATGTTCAACAGCTAGTAGCTAACTTTGTGTATCTGCCATTTGGTGACTGGTGGTTGTTTTCGATGGGTTTGTCACGACATTCCATGTAGTCCTTTGACTTGGTGTCAGTAGAAAAATACTCATTGCTGCAGGTTTAAAGAAGTTGAACGTTGAAAGCAGGGTGTCATAACATTGAAAAGAGAAAATTGTATGTTTGTATGTTTGCACTTGTGAGACAGTTTTACATATCTTTCATCCACCAAAAGCTCTCCTTGCCACCCTCCCCCACCTCGACCCCTCACTCTTCAGCCTCCTCCGTCCCTTCCCACCTCCCTCAACATCCATAATAGAGTGTTCATTATTGTAGACAGCCACTAAATGTCATCTCGCCTGGCCATGCTGTGCATGGTCATGTGTAACTGAATATAACTTATTTATTTTCACAAGTCATCGCCACTTAATTATAAATGACGCTGGCTGCTCCCCAAGAGGGTCTCGCTGCATTCTGGGATGTGGCCTCCCCACCACAGCTAGTTGCTGCTTACTGGGGGTTTGTGTGTGCGCGTGCATGTGGCCAAGCATTTATTGAGGTCTGCTGAGTATCATTCAAATATTTCTCATTAACAACCCTGGTGATATCAAAGAGAACAGACGCCAGATTTAGATGATGGATCAGTTTGTGTATTTGTTCTTCTTTTTTTTGTCATGCTGTTTGTCTTTGCTGTCTTCTGTGGGCTGCCCACTTGTTGTGTGTCTTCCTAATCTTTTTTTTTTACCACTCTTAGTTCAGGCAGTAAATGTGGCTGTCTGCATCCAGCCATTCCCTTCCTAACCTTCATCACAGACCTGACAAGCCCCTTAAATGAATGATGGATTATTCCAGATTAACCCTTTCACCTCCTCTCTCTTGCCTTTGCTATTATTGCTGAGCTCTGCTGGTGGGGAGGCGGAGGGACCAGATCTTATGTGTCTCATAACAGGATAAAAAACAGGAGCGACTGATAAACTTTGACTTGCACAAATAGCCTTAGAGGGCACGTGTCTCTTAGCAACAACAAATTCAGCTGCTTGAGCTACAATCTGGGCAGGTCCTGTCCTTTCTAACAGGTGGGGGTGAGGCACCTACATGTGTTTGTTGGCCACCAAAATTCCCAGAAGAAAAAGAAAAGAGGCGGCAGCAGTGTCTGGGCAACATGGTCTTATACTTGTATAGTGCTTTTCTATGCATTGTAGCATATCATCAAATCCACAACCGAGCAGTCTATACAGAAAAATTAGTTTGCACAGCCAGTGACATGCTAGTGACCCAGGGCCTTTCTGTGTGGAGTCTGCGTGTTCTCCCTATGCCTGCGTGAGTTCTCTTTGCGTACTTCCTCCCACAGTCCAAAGACATGCAGCTGAGGTTGACTGGTGACTCTAAATTGCCTGTAGGAGTGAGTGTGTATGGTTGCCTGTCTCTACGTATCAGCCCTGTGATAGACTGGTGACGTGTTCAGGGTGGACCCCACCTCTCGCCCAGTGTCAGCTGGGATTGGCTCCAGTGAGCCTGTTCAGGAATAAGCGGTATACATAATGGATGGATGGCTGGATCTACATGCTAGCTGATTAGCTTGCTAGCAGTAGTACCCACTGGTGTCGTGAACCCAGACCTGTGTGCTGGATTCCAACTTTTGATGGAATAAATCTGCAACATCTTGTCGTATCCAGTTATCCTAATACATTCATGGCTAAAAACTGTTTAGCTAGCTAGTTTACTCTAACACCAACTACCACAAATGCATTCAGGCATAGATAATTCTTTCTGAAATGTTATTGCCTTCATTTTCCCAAGAGATGCAATGGATTAAAACTGGAACAGTACATTCTTGAAAAATGAGGGCACATGTACTTGTGTTTTAAAATGACCTTTGTTATCAAATTAACTTTTAGGTCTAATGAAACAAACTGGATTTTCTTTATAGGTTAGATATACACTACAGTTTTTTTTAATTGAGGTGGAGCTGTATTTATTCATGCAGCTGTATGATCCTAACCCTAACCCAACCCTCACCTCATCTTCACCCCAAATCCAATGGCGCTGCCCTCAACTCCACTCCCTTCAAAAGAAAGTGGTTGTAAGATTGAAAACACAGAGATATACAAATACACACACCAGTACTGAATGCGCTGTCTGTGGCTTTTGATTCTCGGTTCGTGTGAAGAGTGGGCTACTTGAGGTTGTAATCAACCAGGGATTAGGTGATTGGCTCAGGCTCCTAGGTTTATGCAGATTATGCTGATCTCTGAGTGTTAGACAGGACACACACACATTTGTTTTGCCACTTGGAAGGACATTGCTGTGAAAATGAAAATTGAAAATGCATAACCCTCATCTTAAATAAAAACAAGCCAAAATGTACATTCAATGGACTCCTGAATGGCACATATAGCAAGCATTTTCTGATCTGACCACTACATTGGCAGAATGGGAAAACCATAAAAACAAAGCTTTTCCAACACCACTAGTGTTAAGGTTTGAGTAGATTTAGGTGTTAAAAGGACTTGGTACGGACTAGGGAA